GGAGGTCCGGCTGTTGCGCTAAGATCCTTACTTTGTTGGATATTTTGTCGTATCTTTTCAATTATGTCTGTCGAGAACTCCCCCTACCTTTCTTCCTTGTTGGTTAAGCTCAAACCTTCCGGAATCACAGGACCAACCCGTGTGCTCCTCATACACTTGACCGGCTGCAAACAGGAACTAGAGAGCGACGAGGAGCGAGCCTGAGCCCCGCTGAGTTAGAGGGCGGAACCCTTTGCTCCGAGAGCGCGCTAGGAAGGGATGCCGGGGGAAGACGAACTGGGCTGCGCGGTGAGGAGCGCCGTGTGCCGAGGGGAGCTGCTAGAGCCGCCGGCCCCCTCGAGGGTACGAAGAGCCTGTCACGGATGTCGTGGCGCCTGGGCCTTTTTTCATTCTGGTCTTTTCCAAGCTAGGGACTGACTGTTTGCCTGAGAGAGTAAGCGTTTTGGCTTTTTAGATAATACTGATTTGCCTTAGTAGATTATTTTCCTCTCAAAAAGTCCTCCTGGTTGGAAGGCTTTTTTAAGTATCAGTGCTTTCAAGCACTGTTATTCCTTTAATGGTGACAGAAAATTTTGAAGTGTAAATTCAGACTTTCCCTCTTAATTTGTGTTTTACTTAAAATTCTTCACTAATGGTTGCTTTAAAGCAAACTGGTTTTAAGAGGAAATGGGGTCTGTTGTGACAAGGGAATGAAATCGGACTACCTTCTGAGTTTACTGATTTTCTTACTCAGTCCTGTCCAACGTGAGGTTGCGTTGCCTTGCGTAATTTATAAAATTGCTAGCTGTTTTAAGACAGTATATATAAACAAACTATGCTTCTACATGATATACAAAGATCAATAAGATCACTTTATTTTGAGGCTTAGTTTGGTTGCTGTGATTCTTTTTCTGCATCTGAAGAATGAGAGCTTGATGAGGGCTCAACACTGAAGAGTAAGTGACGTGAGCTTTGACATTCTCTGTCTCGCTCCTGTTCTCACTCATCCTGAAAACAAGATATTGAGGTAGAAAGGAATGTTCTGCTATATCAGACTGTCACACAGACCTGTGGAAAGGTTTGTCAGCATTCCCTAAAGCAGTGATATAGTTAAGTGCTTACTGTAGCCCGAGAGACTACTTCCCTGCTGTGGCTGACAGGCCACTCAGTTGCACAGCTTCTGGTTCCTATTTTCTTAACAGCTTCATGGCCTTCTTCCCTGCCATGGTAGGAGTACTTAAAAACAGTTTCACTTAGTTGAATGCTTCTGGTGCCTTTGTAAACAGGCTCCCTAATATGTGGGAGGGCATGAGTATCACCGATAGTAGTCCTCACAAATATTATATTTCTAAGTATTAGTGGGTTTTCAATGGTGGTAGTATCGTTAGCTAAAAAGTTGCAAAGGGTAAAACCCTTAAGAACTCGCAGGCTTTCAGTTGCTTAATGCTCAAAGTCCAGCAATCCAGGTGGTGAAAAGTACCTCTGTCACACAGTGCATAAGTTGGCCTTCTCAAAGCTCTGAGCAGTGTGACTCTGCCCAGCAGGGTGAGAGCTAAGAAGACAGAAGTTGCAGGTGGCAGACTGACTTCGTCTGACCAATGCTTAAGGAAGCGTAGTTGGTTTGGATAAGTGGAGTCTGCTGGAAGAGGGGAAAAAAAATTTCCATGCATGGAATTTAATTGAAGTTTTGTACGTACCCGGTAATTAGTCTTTAGTTTACTGAGGTAACATGTTCATTACACCTAAAGTAGAATTAATACCAGAGCTTAATACTATTGGGTAGAAATAGCATTCCTGTAACCAGAGCTTAATGCTATTGGGTAGAAATAGCATTCCTGTAACCTTCTGGCCATTAAGATACTGGAGTTAAGTGAAGGGAATCATGAGCCATTTACATGTTCTGCCACACACCCAGCCATGTATTTTAAGCTAAGTATACGTTAATCCCTGGTTACTCATAGCAATGCTATATTTACTAATACTACTACTGGAGCAGAGCGTGTCATCTAGTGCAAAGCAAAGGAGCACCCTTCTTAGTAGATTCTTTATGGAGGATATTTTTATGGGATGATTTGTCCCATAATGTGATAACTATGATCATATTAACCACTGCAATGTAAGTAATAGTGAACTATTATTATCTCTTTAACAGAAAAACAGAGTACACATTACAGATGTGACAGCTTGACTTTTTGATATGGAGAAGAAACAAGTTTCAAAACGTTTATATGTTGGAGGGCTTGGCCATACAGTTTCTAAGGCTGAACTGCAAGAAAGATTCAGCAAATTTGGACGTGTTTTAAATGCAGAGATTATCACCAGGAAGGATGAACAGGGTAACAGTTTTGCATCGTCTCTTAAAAGTGAATTGTTTTGTGATCTGTTGTGTGAAATGGAATTTTTGCTTTAGCAGCACTTTATTTTCAGGAATTAACTTAAGTTTCAGTTTTAAAGAATGCACTGAAGTTATACAGAAATTAATTGAATGTTTGTCTTGAGCAGGGAACCCTACGAAAACTTTTGCTTACATCAGTGTCAGCATTTCTGAAACAGATCTTAAAAAATGTAAGTACGTTTTTGTAATTTCTTTAGCAACTTACGTTCCTGAGCCAAATTACATCACTGATAATGTATCCTATGTTGTCAGGTCAGGATCCTGACCACAGGATGTGGTCAAGGTAGAAGTTAGCAGTTTCATTCTGCAGTCATATTCATTTCATTTGCTTTAGCTGCATTTTTTATGGAAGTTGCCTTACAAACATTTCCAGTAAGTAGATTTAAGTAATTAAAAAGCTACTTTGTAACTGAAGCAGGTGGTTTGTCAAACAGTTTATTGGAGGAGGTGGAGGGAGCTGGCTTGCCTTTTTATGAGAAGGGGTGGCAATTGTGCTTCAAATACTTTAACTAGTACTTTAACCATACTTTAAAACATTTAAAAACGTTAAAAATTTAAAAAACATTAGACGTGACTTGATATGAAAGGAAACCCAGGAGGAAAGTTTACATAAAGCATACTTCTGTTAAAGAAATTTTACAAATTCAAAAATAGTTGGATTGCGAAACTACTTGCAGGGTTACAAAACTATGTGTGTAATCTGCAGCAGCCAAAAAGTCAGGCGAAGATACCTATACCCAAAGACAGGGACTGGTAGTATATCCTTGTATCTAGAAATAGGAAGGCCATTAGGAATAAGAAAGCCGTTTGAGAGGAACTAAAAGCTAACCCAAACCTTGATATTTAACTTCTTCGAGTTCCTAGTACAACAAATTTCCTTCTGGTTCTCAGCTCTCCTTAAATACTCTATTTTTAAAGCACACAAGACGTTAGGTAGAGAAGAGCCTATCTGATAGTACTGTAGAAACATTAGTGTACATGTATCTGAATTTTCAGGTCGCTATTTGAACTAAACCATACAGACTTGAATAATGCTTTTGAAGTCCGGTTTTTTTATTTTGGATGTTGAGCTTCTTGTTTAAGGTTAAGATATTTGGCCTTTTATACACTTTAATCAAGTGAGTAATCAGGTGTGAGATTCATACTAAAGGAGTTTCAGGCTGTCATAAAAGGAGGTGTAGTTCAGTCCAACAGGAGTATTTTTTTTAATGTAGAAAATGCTCATTTTCAGTGTCCTTGCTTTACAGGCATGTCTGTTTTAAATAAAACAAAATGGAAGGGGGGGACGCTACAAATTGAGTTGGCCAAAGAAAGCTTTTTACACAGGTAAAAACCAATATACGAATGTATATTGTTGCTAATAGTTGCTCTTTTTTCTGTTTATAACATTGTGGCCGTGCTTTCTTCATACGCTATACTCTTATTTTTTTTCTAGCTTTTAATGATACTAGTGGTCCACTGATGCATATTAGATACTGCATCAGGTTGTCCATCGTTATTTTGTTAAGGAATTAGCGTAATTGTGATTATAATTGATCTGCTACCCTTAAGTTAAAAGTGAAGAGTTACCGTTCTGTGGGAGAGGGTCACTGTCGGGCCTGGTCTAGCACACAGTTGAAACTGTTTACATATGATGTGCTTTTTGGTACAGACTTGCCATGGAGAGAGAGGAAGCAAAGCTGCAGAGAGAAAAGCCACAGAGAGATGACAGAAGAAATCTATTAGAATCACTGAAAAAGGCTGGAGTTGTAGATTTTCACATGAAAGCAGTACCAGGTACAGAGGTGCCGGGTCATAAGGTATGGTGAGGTAGCTGTACAGATAATTGAAACGAAACCAGAATTGGGCACAAGCTTGTTGCATCTGAATTTATGTCACGTCTTTACACTTGATGGAAAGAAATTTGCCTACAACGTGGTAGTCTGACTTGTGAAAAGTGGTCTAAAGGAATACCTTATGTGTAGACATGTAGAAGGCTCCCTTTTTTGTCATTCTTTGTATTAATGGAAATAATTTTGATTGTACGCTCCTCTGTGTTAAATTAATAAGTATTTTGTTATCTTTTTACATGGGGACTGTCTTCATGACACTCAAAAGCATGGGAGGAGAATATATGTCTTACTTTTATAAAGCATGTGCATTTTGGACTGCTGGGTTGTCAGGGACTATGCTCTGTGCTGTAATGTGTTCATCTGCTCAGTCAGCATGCACTTGCAGAAGTAAGACTTTGAGTAAAACTGCCATTCAATGTGTAAGTGTAGACAAGGAAAAAGATATTTACTACAAAATTTACAAAATCATTTCCTGAGCACAAAATACTTTCAGAGGGTGATAGATGATTTGGGATTTGTTGATGGGGAAGGGGGAAGGGCAAAAGAATAGCAATACCATGTGTATGGTTACTACTATTAATTTATAAATCAGAAGCTTTATATTTAAAATTGTAGAACAAAAGAAATTGTTCTTTATTTTCATTATTTGCAGGTTGTAGAATGAGATTTAGATTTTTTGAGAAGGAAGCTGGCTAAGTCATACAGTACAAAAATATAACACTTAAACAAAAAATGAATTAGTCACAGCCAGTTCTTTATCACTGTTCCTGTTATCAAAGAATGTATGCTTCATTTTATTCCAGGCTGGCTTTTTTGCTTATTGTGATTTATTTTTCCCTATATTCCCCTCCCTTTTTTTTTTTTTTAACTAATTGTTTTTATTTTCTTTTAGAATTGGGTTGTTGGTAAATTTGGCAGAGTGTTACCTGTCCTTCATCTTAAGAGTCAACAAAAAAATAAAATATCCTTTTCTTATTCAAAGGGCATAGATGTCATTCCCTTCTTTATTCTTCGTATGGGGAGAAATATACTTGCTTAACAGTTTTCATATTATTAACTATTATGTCATGTTTAATTTACTGAGTCCCTTAAGTAAATCTTGCAATAAATTCATGTGATTTGAATAATTTTTCAGGTTGAATGTCACTAGTTGAAAGGTTTGTGGTCATAATGTTAAGGAAGACCCTTCGTTGTCCTTTCGCTTAAAATTCAGCCTATCTGTAAAGATTGGAAAACTACTTGCCGAAAGAATCGTGGTGTTTTTTTTCCTTAACTGAGAACAACGTTGTGAAATACGACCCATCAAAATACTGCCATAACCTTAGAAAGCTGGAGCAAGACTTGACATATGTAGTTCCTGTATCCAAGCTCACTTGGCATTTGGAAGGGAGAGAAGACAGCCTAAGCAAGAAGCGACAAGGGGAGTTCCCTTTAACAAAGAAGCCCCCTAAAAAACTGAGAAAACTGGGCCGTAAGGATCTGAATGGAACAGTAGTTCTCCCCTCTGGGTGCCAGTCACAGTCAAAAAATATAAGCTCATCACAGCTAATTCAAAGATCAAAATCCAGATCCAGTGAGATGTCTAAATTACTTCCATCAATCAGTAAAACATCAGGGGGAGATTTACTATCACGTAAGAACAATGTTCCTAGAGTTACATCTCAGAATATAATGAGTGTTTCTGACAGTAACTCTGATTCTGAAGAGGAAATCAGAGCAATGGTAAAGAAAGAGATAAGAATACAGAAAGCTGAAACAAATGTTGAGACTGAAAGTGACCACTTGGAAATTGTTGGGGATGACTTTGAGCTAAAATACAATACTCACTGGTCTTTAGACAATCCGGATACCATGAAGAAAGTCATTAAAGGAAGTAGTAGTGGGGAGAAAGAGTCCGTGAAACGTGACAATGGTTATGATTCAGCAGATACAGATGAAATTATTGCTGTGAGTAAAACTCCTGATCTCAGTAGCAGGAAAACTACAATTTTAGAAGACTCAAAACAGGAAAAAGTGGGAAAAAAAGTTGATAAAGCAATATTAACTAATAAAAATTGTGATTTGGTAAATGACTCCTCACTGAAAATGCACAATTTAAGAGAAGAAAACAATGAAAGAGAAGGGAAAAACAGAAAACCTAAAATAGCTGCCTTGCGGAGTACAACAGTTAACAGTACAGATAAGACACGTGATGGTGAAAGCTCTTATTCAGAGTCTGAGGAAGGGGAATCTGATACCAGTTCTGTTTATGAATCCATGATGCAAAACTGCTACCGTCTAGACCTTACATTAGATGACTTAAAAGCTTTAGCTGCTGAAAACACTGAGACTTCAGTAGAAGATGCAGGTAGTACGCAGAGTTCTAGTCAGTGCAGTGTTAAAGAAAATACTAAGGGCGGTGTCACATACAACAAAACACGTTCTAAAATTCCCCCTGCACTTAAAAAAAAATGTATCTATCCTGATGATATAGTTGCTGCCCTTTTAGAGGGGGAGGAGAATGCTGATGGAGAAAGCTCCACAGGACAAAATAATTCAGGTTTGAGGTATCAGCCCTTCAAAGGAATGGGATCCCTTTGTGAAAAAGAGCTAACTAAGGAGAGCACTGGTTTAAAGAAGAGATCTGTAGGAAATTTAGATTTTGAAGCTTGTTCTTCTTGCTCTGGGAAAGTGTCATCTGCATCTAAGAACACTCCATTGCATTCCCCTGAAGTCAGCACTGAAAAGAAGCAAAATATGGGTTGTGGCCAGCTCAAGGAATTGTCAGATGCTGCCATCTTAGCAGATGAGAGCGATCAGCCTATTTGCAGGCCACACTTGCAAGGAAAGAGCAAATACATGAATTCTCAGCAAGAAGACCAGAAGTCAGCGGGCGGAGATGCTGTTCCTAGTGCTGATGAAAGTGAGGATGAGAGCCGTAACATGGACAGTAGTGCTCCCATGTCACAGGAAGCCATTAAAGGACGGTTGAGAAGTCCAAAATTGCTTTCAAAGCAACTGAAGAGAGATGTAAGCAACAAGAATGGGAAGACAAGTATTGTGGAATCTAAGGAGCTTTGTTTTCATGCTACTGCTTCAAAGGAGCCTGATACAAAAAAGAAACAGTTGCAGGATAACCAGAGGAGGCTGGCAGCTTTAGAAGAGAGGCAAAAAGAGAGAGAGTTACAGAAGAAACTCATTCAAGGAGCTCTCTCAAATCTGGTAATTACATTTTTTTTCTGAACAGTAGACAATACAGAAAATTTAGTCATATGTATTTAAGACTGAAGAATAATATTTCGGAATTTCTAATCACATTGGCACTTACCAATTCAGACTACGTGCAAACTGAAGCATACTTAATTCCAGGGATGTCTCTAGAGTTGCAACAGGGGCAACAGGCTCCTTCAGTGCCATTAAAGTGTCTTTTAGTTATATCTTTGTGACTATAGCAAGTATTTGATATTTTTATATCAGAGTTTTAATTTCACAGTTTTATTCTTACTTAGGATAGCCAGCCAGCAAGCGTGCATAAGCACATCATATTCAATTCAGATGTGGAAAGTGAAGCTGAAGTGGGTGAGATGTCTGAGAAAGATGCAAGTTTGGGAAATATGCTTGAAAAAGTAAGTTCTATAAGAAAAAGTCCAGTATTCTTGGAAGCAGTTCCACATTATTATGACTGTGCCTTTTGTTCTAAAAAAAAAAAAAAAGTTTTTTGTAGCAATGTGACAGAAAAAAGTAAGTGATAAATGTGTGACTTTTTTTTTTAAGCTAATGTGTTAGCATGACTGTGTGTCTAAGAAAGCTGAAGAATTTAGAATTTGTAGGAAATTGAGATCTATACACATGATATTTTAATTTTATGAAGGAAAAAGAATATTTGCATTACAGGACTTGCACATAATTAATTTTGAATTCCACTACTTCTGGCTAAAGGAAGGGGAAGAGATTTGACTTGAATAGCATAGAAAGACCCATCAGCTTAAGATAATCCGGACTGTCATGCTACTACTACTCTGTGCTCTAATCAACAGTGGGTAACAGAAAATCAGCAACACATGGTGATGCACAAACTAACCTGCTGCTAAACTGTCAGGCTAGCTGTGCAATCCTAATAATAATTGGGTTTGTTACTGGTTTGATAATTTGGTACTAAGAGTTTTTTGCCTGTATGTCCACCAGAATGTTCTTTTGCTGCATCATGTATTACATCGTTTCCCGCTTATCTGTGCGTTGTGCTTATGATATGAAAAAAATGTGTTAAATTAAGATTTCCTTTAGATAAACTTTGTTATCTGCTACTAAACAAAGAATGTACATTAAAGCAGTGTCAGGTTTTTAACATGATGATAGGCTCCAAAGAAGTCATGTGGGACTTCCTCTCTAAACCTTACCTAATCAAGATCTAATTTACCAGGCTCCTCAGGATTTTACCACCATACCTGAAGCACAATTAAGTACTTCTTTGCTGAAATAAAGTTTGTTGTGTCATCGCATCTTTTATTTTCCATTTAAAATATGCTACAGCTTTACATGATTGGTTTTGCTTTTGTCTTTTTCCCCATACATTTATTAAGATTAGGGTCATTCTGATATTTTGCATAAAAAATTTTCTTTCTTTTCTCACTCCTTTTCACATTTAGAGTTTTCTTTTATTATGTATTTATATTACCTGTGTTTGGAGTCTCTGCCCTGTATTTTTCTTTAAAAGAAGCTCTAATTCTGTAGAAAATTGTTTTGAAGCCATTGAATGTTTATCTTTTGTCTTGCAATAGTTGATATTTATCAGCTGCCTTAAATGGTGTCATAGAGTTTATATCATAAATGAATCCCATTCAGAAAGGGGATAGTTAGACATTGATATTTTAAAATTGATCTCCTTTGACATATCCCGAAAGCTGGATTTTTATACCTAACTCTCATGTGTTATAAAGCCTGAATTACTCTGTACAGGGATGTTTTGCCTGTGCCAAAACTTAGTAGTGATAATTGTAAAACAGAATTGTACAAGGTAGGCATGCAAATTAAGATTTGAAACACACAGATTAATAGAAGTGAGCTTACTGTTGTAGAAATGTGCTTTTTCACATAAATCGGAAAGCAGATGAGCAAAGCTGATGCTGGATTGTTTTCTCAAATTTATGAAAATGGCTACTTTTCCATATCTTCTTTTTGCTTAATGAATAAGGAATCTGCTCCTAAAACTTCTGGAAGACTGTTTGAAAGCAGTGAGGATGAACAAGATGATACAGATGATGAGAGATTCAAAATTAAACCCCAGTTTGAAGGCAAAGCGGGTGAAAGAGTGAGTGAACCTATTTAATGTGATTTACAGTTTTTCTCTTGAGTCTCCCTAAGGCCACTTCAGAAGTACGTAACATCGTGTAGGTTTGCATACTTGTTGGGTATGAAAATTTCGACAAACTTAAGACAGAAGTCCTCATTTAAATAGAGGAAACGGTAGTCAGGAAAGAAATACTGTGTGGTGGTGGGGATGAAGGGGTTCTCTGATGTCGTCTTGGAATACAGAGAAACTTCTGGTAAAAGCAGCGAGAGCTGAAAATTGTTAGCGCATTGCAATGATGGCAGTGATTCTCCAGCAACTTAATAGTATTTTATTTAATGTCTTTAGCTCTTGCATTTGCAATCACGATTTGGTACAGATAAAAGATTTCGCTTGGATGCTCGATTCCTTGAAAGTGACAGTGAAGCAGAAGGTAAGCCTGTTCTTATTTCCTGGTTAATCATAGTAATAGTGATATATAATAGAGCCTTAGTTTTGGATGTTTGAAATAGCTCATGAACTGCTTTGCTTCTCTGGTGGTTCAAGGAAAATAGCTCAAAGAAAATAACCCAACCCTATTGTGGTTGTGCGTATTACATAGTGGTAGCTGCATTTTCTTAAATGGGTATGCTGCAAAAGTAATAGTTGAATGAGACATTACTTGGTTGATGAATCAATATTTTAAATAATTTATTTAAATATAGGAAGATATTTTTATGATACTAGAATGCGTTTATCCATGTTTTTCACAGGATAAATGTTGACTTAAAGTTCTTGACTTTTTGTCTTCACTTCAACTGTTTGTTTTATAGTTATCTTGGAGTCCACTCATGTTTTAGCAGCTATAGGAAGAATGATACCTTAAAATGACAAAAGGCAGACAAGCTGGAAAAGGCAAAAAAGTTTTCAAAGGTTATTTTTGTTGTTTATTTGTCAGTTTGTTTTGCTACCAAAAATGAAATTGTTAACCTAATTTTCAAGGCTCAGAATTTATTTCTGAAACTCAACTTTCTCCTAGTTCTAGTACTCCCTTTGCTGCTTAATGTGATCTCAAGAGTGTTTGAGAATATATATACAAATAAGTAATGCTTCCATACAGCATTCTCAGTGGCAGAGCGATTGCAAAGTTATGTGATACGAAGAGGGAACAAGTTAAATTACTGGTCTGATTTTTCACATGAAGTAGGTGTTCCTGACACTTCTAATCAGACTAGCTGAACTGCAAGGAAGAAAGCCTCTAAGTAGCTTTAGAGGAAACCCATCAAGCTGCGTGACCTCTCTTACTATTGTGATGATGTTATGTATCGAATATTACGTGCTTAATCAGGCCATAGTGGAAAAAATTAGTAATTACTATCTTTTCCTTTGCAGAGACAGAGATACTGGAGACAGAGGAAGAAGAGCTTGCTGCAGAGAAGAAAAAAAATCTGCAAATACTGGGGAACCTCTTGAATATCAACCTAGAACACTCTAAGCCAACTAAAACGGCCACAAATGCTAAGAAATTCAAGTATGAGTCATGCGTTGTCAGAAAAGAAGGAAATTTAGGAAGACTTAATTTTTGTCAATGTTATGCAACTGAAACTTCTGCTTAATCTGTGGAATGAAATGTTTTTTCAGTCATTATCATGTGCACCTGAAGTCAGCCTTTAATTTAGTTTACCAGCTTCAGTGTCCCAGTAGGTTATGCTATTGGTAATTATCGTTATTTAGGGAAAAGGTGATTGTATGGCCACTTGATCTTCTTCCAGCAGATTTTTGTATGATTGGATTGTTGAGTATGAGAATTGGCGTTTTAAAAAGTCCTTGTCTCTGCAAAGAAGAAATATATCTTATATAGACAAACTTAAATAACTGAGCAAAGAGCATGTAAGTTGAGTGGTAGGTCAGTATGCTAGACTCTGACTTCCAGAGACGTTAACAAAGTTTTCTTTGGCTTGCAGATGAAAATGAGTTGGGTATCCTATCTTTCAAGGGTTACTTACCAGAAACTGCAGTGTAATTTCTATTCTTTATTAGTATCAAACTACTTTTTCCATGGATATTTTTTTGTATTTATCAGTATGTCTAGTTTTGGGAAATTTCCTCGTTATATTAGGAATTTGTTACATGTTACTATCCCCAGCCTTTATTAGATGACGATGAGAGAGGTTTGGAAATGCACTATTAAAAGTATTCTGACGCTTAACTACATGCTTTAAAAAAACTTGGTCTGTGGACTACATTGGTGGAAGTTAGTAATGTTAAATATTGGATTTATATCAGTTGACTACTGAAGAGTAGACCTATATTATGGCTTGTACAAATCTTCATGTTTTTGCTAAAGACTAAGCAGAGGGGGAAATAATCTGTCGTACCCCAGAGGTAATCTTAGGAATTTTTTGTGCGATACAGTGTTCTGTAATATCCAATTAAGGATACAGTATAATGCAGTTATAATTAACTTATGCAGTAAGTGTTAACTGGGGGCAGGACAGAAACCAAATGGTTCTCTTTTTGCATTGCCATAAGGCAGTATGGGCCTTGCCACACTAGTATTAGGGTCAATCTAAACTTTAGACTACTGTAGCTGACAGTCTCAGTAATGTTTTAAGTTTTGAAAGATGAGTGTGGGAGTTGGACTAGGTGATTGCTAAGGGTCTCTTCCCACCTCAACCATTCTGTGATAAACAGGTGCACGTGTAAACTTATTTTTATTGCATAACGTATGTAACTTGAGGTATATGTTTTATATTGCATATGACATTTTGACTAAAGGAATTCTGTTTATAACTGTTCTTGATCAAGACTGACTGAAAGATCCTTTTAAAATGCCCATTAGGTTTTTGGGTTTATTTGAGGCTTTTTGGTAAAGAAGTAAATGTGAATTTGAATCTGACTGTGAGTGTTCAGGGTAACTTTGATGTGGACATTTAGAAGGTCTCATGCTTTTTAATTTCCTTTCTATTTCCCTAGAGATATTAATGCCCTTCGCTATGATCCTACAAGACAGGACCATGCAGTTTTTGAAAGAAAACCAAATGCTACAGAAAAAGAGAGGTAGTATTGCATCTTAGTAATTATAACTGTGATGTTTCTTTCCCTGGAAAGCTGACTTTCAAAAACAGCAAGACTGAGTTTAAAACTATATACAGACTGCTCTGTTTTTTTCCTCAGTTATCCCTGTTATTGCTAAAATAGAGATCAAGTAAGACTTTTGACTGCTCAAGCCATCAAGTGATGTTGTCTTTTCTTTCTAGTCACTCTTCTCTATGCATGCTGTTTTCTGTCCTCCTTTCTCACCTTCAAGCTATCCCTTTGCTTCAAGTCCTGCACTTTGAGAGTTGCATATCTGAGAAAAAAACCATTAGCACTTTGCAAGAAAAGAAACATGTCTCAGACTTCTTAATATTGAGATTATATACCGTCATACGTGAAATAAGTGAAGAGGTTGTCTCATCACTGAAGTACAGTCAGGACATTGTTAATCATACAGTAGAATTGCTGCTACCCTTTCATAAAGTTAAACCTGAGAGTCTTTCCCCTGCTCACCCTCAAAGGCTGTGCAAGTTATATGAGGGGGGGAAAAAAAATGGGTCAGAAGCCATTTGTGCATGGCACAAATGCAGGCATGTTGTCCTTTGAACCTTGGAATATCCTATTCCCTGAACCTGGAATCACTAGGAAACAAACTTCAAACTTAACCTACTCATTAATGTGTTCAGATAAGTTTAGAAAGGCATTAATATAAAGGTTACTTCTTTAATCTGATACATTAACATAACATAAAGGGAGCCTTTCTTTCAAAAATATATGTGCTGTGTCATTAACCTTTAACAATTTGATTTCAGTAAAGCTAAAAGGAAGAGGAAGAGGGAAGAGAGTGAGAAACTACCTGAAGTGTCTAAAGAAATATATTATGACATTGCTATAGATTTAAAGGAGTTGTTTGGATCTTCAAAGAGTGAAGCAAAAAAGAGTGAAGTAATAGCCTGGGACAAAGATGATGCAGAGGAGTCCGCTTCATTGGGACCTAATGTTGGCAGTAACGTAGCTCAGGAGTCTACTGGTTTCACGTTTTCCTTCTTCAGCGACATGGATGAGTCAGCTGTAAAAGAAGGTAACAGTAGAACATACTTAAACTACTCATTAGAAAATGTACTATTATGTCATACGCTGTAGAGTTATATAGCATATTTGAAGTTCAGAACCCAGGGAATTTTTATGGGCTAAACTCAGTAGTTAAGCAAAATCATTATGATCTCTTGTTGTACTTGCCAAGGTTGTTGTAGTTTAAATCACAGTTAATTGTGTTTGCATCCCAAGAATTCTGCAAGGGATGACGATTTGAGAAGGAACTAATTCTAATTGTTTTTTGAACAGCGATGGAAAAACGTCTTGACATGCATTAAATTTCTCAAATAAACCAGACAGACGAGGATTCACGAAAACAACCAAGATTTTATAAATGAAATGTGTGTTAATTAAGGTAGTACTATGAGCAAAAGAATATCTTAGCGCTGAGCACAAAATCCTAGGACGTTTTAGTACGCACTTATGTTTATGGCTTTAGAAATTTGAAGTTGAATGATACATGATTATTGGGTCTAGGTAACAAAAAAAAAGTGTCTTGATTTAAAGAAAAACAAAATGTTAAGAAACCAACAAAAGCCAAATATGAAATCAAGTCCCTTAATAAGTAGTAACATAGGACATGAGAGGAGACTATGTGCGAAGCTAACAAATTATGGAGAGCTAATTTTTGCGGACTTCAGAAATAATTCAGTGTCTTCTGAATGCTGCAAGATGGGTTTTGGGATAGCAATACGTAAGAGATCACTATAATAAAGTGGAAAATACTGAAGTGGAGATGTAGTCCAGAGTTCACCGGTAAGTTTTTAACCAATAAGTATTTTAGAGGGGGTGGCGGTGGTGTTTTTTGGTTTGGTTTTGCAGCACAAACTACAGGTGTTTTGTGGATAACTTGAACTTGGTCCTTTCCCCTGCAAATGTTGGATTTTTTTCCAAAGTAGAATTTTCTAGTATTTGTCTTTAAGAAAATACTTGTATTTCATACTTCATACTGTTGGGCTTGGAAACTGCTTTGTGTTGTCAGAGAGAGAAGGAGCTGGCTCTTTTCTTACTGACCAGGCTGACAAGTGCTGCATAGGTCCTATGCTTATCCAGTAAAAGAAAGGGGTACCCTAAGTCCCTAACCTCAGTCCTTTTGGCCAAGGAAGGAGTAAGGGCTCAGGTATGTGTTTAACTGAGCACCTGTCAACTGGCCATGCCTGCTATAGGCTAGCAGCACATACGTGAAAATAACATAGCTTAGCTGAAAACACAGAATAAGCTAAGGCATTATGAATTTAGTTCAGAAAGAAACTTATTATTCAGATAGTCACAATTAAAGCTTATATTCCATCTTCTGCAAGCTAAAAATATGAATGGCTACTGTTACTCCAAACTGAGTTGGAGTGACTTGATCCGAACCCTGGATCCTAACAGTGAGCTTCAAAAGGATTTACTGCTCTTTTTCCCCAAGCTGTGATGATACTAGTTGTGGATTTTGAGGGTGTATGTAATGCATGAGAAGGTAAACTAAGCTTATACCTTCCCAGAGAATCGTGGATGAACACTTGATGGGAGGTTTCTGTCCAGCTCAAATTTGTCCTTTCCAAGTTAAGTATTTCACTCTTAAGTAGAAGTTTTTATTTGCAGGGAGGGGAGTAATCTGATTTTTCTGGTGATATACTGCAGAGCCCTATGAACTTGAAGCAATAAAACCCGTAAAAGTCGCATGGCAAGAAGATCCACGTTTCCAGGACAGCAGCTCTGAGGATGATGAAGAGCAGGAGGCATCAGAAAATGAGAGAGACAAAGAAATGCAAGTCTATTCGTATATATTGTTTACGAGGTTGTACTAGTTTGACACTGTGGGAATTTTAATGGCAGCAGTCAGGTCATGGAAAGCTAACATTGTTATTCTACGTCTCTGAAAAATACAAGTCCCTTTTAGGAAATCATTCCTTGCTGCACAGAACAAAAATCCTGCTGCCACACTTGATTTGAGGTTGAATGTGAAAAACTGAGTTTCCAGCTGAATGCATGAGAACTTAACTGGGTAGCAGTTTGGGCCAAAAGTCAAATATATATTAGACTTTTTTTTTTTTTAATAATAATAGAAGGCTGCGTTTGGTTACTACGGAGTAATGTTGTTCTTCAATGCATGCTTTTTCTCCAAAGCATTACAGCTTTGTGTTAATAGAAATTGACACTAAAATTTTGTTATTATTTTTCTAGGTTTTTTTCTTTACCACAGGCAAAAAGTGCTAGATTTTTCTTTTTCTCCAAAGATGATGAAAGATTAAGAGGTATAACCCTTTTTTTTTTCCCCATCTCTCTACTGAAGTGTAATAAGGATTAAAAAATTGCCTAATTTATTAATATTTTCTAGCTGAAGCATAGATGAGGTCATTTAAAAAAAAAAAAAAAATCACCGATTTCCATCATTACCTACGGTATGAATTGTGGTAGCACATCCCAACAGAAAGTATGCACAATCCCGGTGTAATAAATGCAGAGCTCTTATCTTGCCCTCCTATTTTCAGATCATTACTTAATATGTAACTGGTTTTTGCTGTTTTGTATTTTAGGCTTACAAAATCATTTGGCAAGGTATTTAGACAGTTTGGATACTTTCAGGTGTATATCTGATCTTAATTTTTTCCACGCTTCTGGTCTTATTAAGAGCATGCAATATGCTCATCAGACCTCATATGTCCATATAGCTCTTGATCCTAAGTAATTGGGGGGCCTTTTGTGGATATGATGTCTTTCACAGTAAAAAATGAATATAGTTGCTTTTGATATGCTATACAATAAATAATTTGCAAGACAGCATTATATAATGCTTGTTTCTGAGACAAGTTAGAAATTGGCCAGACAATGTATAAACAAAAGTTACTGTGTAGCTAATACGGTTCTTATACTGTAATCTTCCAGTCTGCATGTCTGATTTACAGTGTTTATTAAAACCTAGAGCTCTGAATCCGGAGCAGGTACAAATTTTCTTGGGAGATTTGCGGGATCGTGCTCCTGAGTTCCTAATGAAACAGGTGCTGATTCTCTGCAAGTTATATTTCAGCATATAAAGGAAAACTGCCACTTCTTTTAATTTTTCTTAGTATGCTGAGGTGTCATTCTATTTCTGTTTGAGCCATAAACCCATTCTGTTTGGGCAAGACAGGCATATGCAGAAGGTTAAAAATAATCTGACTCTTGCTGTCAGTGTTTTACTCATGAGATTTATGAAGGACAACATATTCCGAAGTGTTAAGCCATGTTAAATTGTTCTTTGTTTTGTGCAGAGGGTCCTAAATTATTCTGTAGATCAGTAAACCTCAGCGAAGAAAAAGATAGCTGGGAAAACAGACGTAGATTGTTGCTTGAGGTGAGTATTTTAACCTTTGTTACTTCATAACTGTAGCTGGAAAAGAAAGCTCAGCCTGAGGAGGGAACAAGGCTGCTAATTTATTTAATTTGCATTAAAAATGAATCAAGGCGCTTTAGAAGGGTTAGAAACTTTATCACTACCAGAGAATTATCCAGATTTTTAATACTGTAGTGAATATAACCTCATGTTTTGATGTCCAGCCAGGTAAGTTATTGAACCTTTGTAGTGCACAGGAGCAATTGCTTTACTATATGAAAGAAACATATTTAAAAGACAAACACATGATTTAGAAACTTCTCATAATATTGTCTTGAAATTTAAATATTTTCAGGAATGCAAAAAATGCCGGAAGAAGCATAAGGATGCAAGAAGGAAAGTGAAAGCAAAACAATGAGTCTTTCTTATGTTCCTTGTCAGGAATATTTTTGGTTTCTTCTTTCAAGAAATTGCAAAAAAAAAAAAAAATGTCTCTTTCAAAATTCTGATCTTTCAAATATCTAGTGGGAACAATATTGGAAAAGACTGTAAACTTTATTTTTAAAAAGCTACATATTAATTGATTATGTCAATTTAACGATCGTTACACATTGTTTTTTTTTTTTGTCTAAACATATTGTTTAAATGTGACTTGCTTCTTTGCAAACTTTTTGAGGATTTGATCACGTAATGGAGGATACTCTGCTCTGGAATGTTTTGCTGTATTCTCAGGCCCTACTGCTGCACGGGGCTGACAGAGAGCATGGCAGGTGACTGCATCTATAAGACTAACTTGTATTTGTTTGAACATAATAGAGGTCCTGTTTGAGATTTCTTTGCAAATACTTGGAATGGGTTTTTTTTTTTTTCCCCACACATTAAAAGTTTACCAGAAGTTTATGAAAATATGTAAATAATTGGAAAGGCTTATGAAATAAGTTAAATTTGTATTTCTTCACAGAACTGAATTCCCCACTTTTTTAATACAGTATATACATCAATAAATATTAAGAACAAATGTTGCTGGTGTTGTATGCTTGTTGTTGAATGGTATTTTTACATACAGGGTCATATTCTTATATCCATATAGCACATGTGCTGCAGAGGGTCACGGCAACCTCAGAGAATAGGGAGTATTATGGAAGTATTGGTTCTTGGCTGTTCATGTGCTGCAACATGGTATAGCTTCTATATGATCTGCCTAGAGAGCTGTAATAAAAGGAAATATTGAAATTTCCAACTGAGGAAATCCACTATGCATAATGATAGTACTATGAGATAAAACATTTTGCAATACATTTCCAGGATGTGTTAAAGTAGTGACTGAGAATGGTGATTTCCAAATAAGATTTGTGAGAAATTCCATGGCTAGCATTTATTTGCAAAATAATTAAACATTCCATTGTGTTTTTCTGTGGTTCCTTTAGATCCCATGACATATATGCACAAAGAAATTAATATTAAGTCTTGCCGCAAGATAGCAGAACTGTATCTACTATAATTGGGATTTTTTTATAGCACACTTTTCCAAGCCATGTCTAGCAACAAAAAATTGGTTTTATTGATGTTTAAGGCTAAGTTTTGGTAGCAAATGGATAAACTGGACATTATGTTTCCATTACATTTACTGTCAAGTTAACAGCTGGAAATGTGTTGGTTTTTTGGTACTCTTTGAAAGCCACATCTTTCAGCCTGGGAAACAATATCAGTAAACAATAGTTACCAGAGTCCTGATGCTAACAAAGAAAATCACTTTAAGCAGCATTTTTCAAGCAATTTTCAAGCAAGATTTTTGAGATCAAAAGACCTATTAAAGGAATTCTATCATTGCAGTATGTGCTTTGCAATGTTTCTCATTTTCTTTCCTTGATTTTTATCAGGTGTGTATTGCTGCAGAGCATAATTCCAGAAAATGTTTTCATATTTGGTACAAGTTGTCGTGTGCATTACCACGTCTCTTATTCTTGGTTGAAAACACCCTTTCATCCAAAAGTGCTAAGTATTAGTAGAAACCTGATCATGATTGTATGTAGATCCTTGAGCGTACTTGAATAACCAAGTCATGTGCTGCATGAGAACTGTAGGATTGGAAGGAACCCTGTTGTTCTAGAAGACTGGTGCAACTTCGTGTAGGAACTTCTTCTTTGGTCCATGATGTAAAGGGCAAGCCAATGAGTGAGGAATACACAGCTGGGATAAGCAAGCTGGAAACAATTTGGGCTTCAGTTAAAGGACAGAAGTTCAAAAAGAATATTCCCTGTTAGTCGGAATGCTGGTCAGCAGTCATCTCATCTTACAATACATTATCGCTTAAATACTGAGTAGATGGAGAAGAAGAATTAGATTTTTTTTTTCCGGAAATCCAGTTCTTTGTTTTCTTCCATATGCATTCTGAAGTTTGTCTGAATCTTTTTTTTTTATTAGTTTTCTTTCTATTTTCAGAATTAATTTTACATTATGTGTGTTCTCAACCTCCTAAAAAAAAGTCTCTGTGATTCATGTTAACAATGCTTCTATCTTGCATATTCTTTACTAAACATAAAAACAGAGTCTGGTCTTACGGCTTTCAGTGACACATCCCTGTAAACATTTTTTCTAAGTATCTTGGTCTGTGATACTGTGTTCTGAACAAAGTTCTTCCGTGCTATGTTTCTGTGGCACATGATCCTTTTTTTCCCTGAGGCTAGGAAGTCCTCAGAGTTGTAATAAATGTCACACATTTTACAGTACAGTGCCTTGCTATATTATTCCTACTCCAAGTTACTTTTTCCTGAGCAAGGATTCCTATAGAGTTGCAAATTTTAATGCTCTGCTTTCCTACCTGCAATCCTAGAGCCTTAAAATCGTTAACTACTAGACATAGTGCATCCCAGTATGAAGAGACCTAATGACATTTATAGCAATATATGTTTTAATGAAGACTAAGCTTTTCTGGAGACTTTGATAGGCATTAAACTAAGAAATATCTACATTAAAGCCCCCAAATCAAGAAAGGAATGAAGTTAGTAGGCCTCTGCTGTAAGCCATTCTGACTTCACTAGAGTTCATGCAGCTGCAAGTTTCAACCTGCGTGGCTTTTCTTGCAGGATACCTGGAGGAGGTAAAGGAGCAGTAAGTTAAGTTCTCTTTGATCTTTACGATGCCAATGAACATTTCCATTTGGCTTGCATCAGTTTGTCAAGAGAGAATGTGTTATGCTTTCCTGGAATCTCGTTACTCAGATTGTTCAGATCCTTGGAATATCTTAAGAACAAAGACTGCCACACCATGTCACTTTATTTAATTAAAATCACGGACCGAAGGAATGTCTTAATGTTTTTAAAAAGGATTTTTACATTGTCACAATGAGGAAGGTAGCACATTTCAACATCTTAAAACTTAGTGATTTTTTCCACAGCGATTTTTTCAATTAATCATCTGTCATGTTTCAGGCTATTGCAAGTGTGGATATTTAGTGGTATTATATTTAGTAGATATTAGTTCAATCTTTCATCCTGTTTATCTTCTAACATCTCTTCCCTTTCCTGCCTATTCCGTGGTTTCCCTTGTGGTGTTTAGAAGTCCGATGCTTGGAATGTTGTGTCTAGTTATGCTACTGGCTTGATATATTGAAATTATGAAATGTTTAACTGGAAACACAGGGTCTGTCAACAGTAACATGTCACTACCACGTGCCGTAAGTGGAGAGCATATTACTTTGTAAAAGCTGGCACAAATGATATACCAGTTTCTACCTGAGAGTGGCATCAGTTGTACAAGCTTGCCATCACAACTGGGGTGTTGCAGACAGAAAACATGTGGCAAAGGAGCAACCAGAGTGTGGTGCACGGTCCCAGGAAAGAAGATGGGTGGGGAAAAAGGAAGGAATAACAAACGTAGCATTATACGTTATCCCATTAGTTCTGTCATTGCCAAACGTTTTATCTTTTTAGACAGAGCTGTGACTACTTAGTCCTGCATTATCTACTCTGAAGCAGGGAGGTTTCATCAGCCAGTGGTTCTGCTGCTTGTGTTTCAGGGTTAGCTGACTCTACAGAGTTGCAGTCTGCCCACATCATTTTGTAGGTAAAATGTCGTACTACTTTTAGCAAGCTCTGTACTCGTTAGGTTTGAATGCACACGAAGTAATGAACTAACTTGCTTACATTTACTATTTTATTTTTCTGAATGTGGCTGTCTGATACTAAGTACATCAGGACCTAAAAGATGCTGCTGCCTTCTTCCCTGCTGTTTGTTCTAGTGGTGAAATGGGTAGTATATTCTGTATGCTTTCAGTCCCTGTAGTGCAAGGGGGAGGGGACAGAACAGGATGATAAAAACAGGATGGAAAAAGGAGAGTCCAATTGCTTCTTGAGGCAAAAAACAACTCTGTTATGTAATAGTTGACTGTTTTCTTCTCCTCCCCCACCTAATGTCACTCTTCCCTGTGCATGCTCTCTCCTTCTCTTCCCCAGACAGCTTTATGCATGAAACACCTTTGAAAAATCATTTGAGCAGCGTAACGTTTTAGGAACAACTGTGGAAGCCATCACTAACAATCTCCTTGCTGAAGACAGATGGTGTTTTAATACCAGCATTTCACTACTGCAGGTATATTAACATCCATTTTATATAATCCAAAAATAGCTTGTTTAGTTTGAGAGTATGCATATTAGACATTCTTCCTAAAAGTCCTAGGAGCCTGCGGATATGGCTGTGCTATGTTCAGAAAATGTATCATTAGTTAGCTTTAATCCAGCTGGACTGAGTACAGCAGTACTCGAATAGTAACACAAAGTTCGATGTGGGCTGGCTGGCTGAGGAAGCAGCCTAGGGTTCCCAACAGCCTTCTAAAACTTGAAGCAGTGAAAGCTGGCTCTATCCTGGAAGTTACAGACACTTTACTGCAATGTGGCACAGTAACATATAACTTTCTGTTGGGACTGCAGAGTGAAAATAGTCTTCAAATCATTAGGACATAAATTCTTGAGGGCATGGTCACGCTATTGGGTTACTGTCACTTAAATTTTTGTGCATTCAGCACAGTAATGGAGTGCGTGTAGTTTTATTTTTTTGGAAACAGAAACATGAAATGCATTAGCCTAAAACCCCAGTGAAAACTTGATCTTAGCCCATGTTTGCTGTTGACTAAAAGCCTACTTGTTTGTTAATACAGAGCACTGTTAGGTGGCTTAGGTTACTTAATTAGGTACTGTTAGGTACTTAATTGTAGTGATGCAGTTTTTTGTCCAAGCCCTAGGCACATAAATCACCTCTGAAAAGATAAAAGGTATTATCCAACTGCTTGTGATGATGTTACTGTATTTAAAGAAACGGGTGTTTGTCTGCAGAG